TCAACCAGGGGAAGCCTCCTTAGGCCCTTGCAATCACAAATTCTAATCTCTTCAAGAGAATCACATACCATTACTGCCCTCCTGCTACAGATGCTCTTTAATGCGGGCAAATTCCGCAATAATAGTTCTTTTAATTTTGGAAGAATGAGCTTCTTGATGATGTCCCCTCCTTCTCCTTCTTCTTCTGGATCTGATCCTATTATTTCTTCCATTTCTTCACAGTTCTGGACATAAATCCTTTCAAGACTTTGGAGATCTTCCAGAAACTTCCAAGATGGAAACAACTTCTTTAATTTTTCGGAAAACATAATATTAACGCTTACGAGAGATGAAAAAGTGCGAAGTTGAGGTGGTGACATGGCAATCAATTCTACTTCAAACAGCCAATCCAAGTTGTCAAACCCACCAAGAGATACACGTGGAGGGAGACGAAAAGGAATCCTCCTTAGGCCCTCGCAATCCCAAATGGAAATAGATTCAAGAGAATCACATACCATTACTGCCCTCCTGCTACAGATGCTCTTTAATGCGAACAAATTCCACAATTCTAGTTCTTCTAATTTTGGAAGAATGAGCTTCTTGATGATGTTCTCTCCTTCTTCTCCTTCTTCTGGATCTGAAGCTATTATTTCTTCCATTTCTTCACAATCCTTGACTTCAATCCTCTCTAGACTTTGGAGATATTCCACCAACTTCCAAGATGGAAACAACTTCTTTGCTCTTCTACATTTGCTAATCGTAACTTTTTTAAGAGATGAAAAAGTGCGAAGTTGAGGTGGTGACATGGCAATCAATTCTACTTCAAACACCCAATCCAAGTTGTCCAACTCATCAAGAGATAGACGACTAGGGAGACGAAAAGGCATCCTCCTTAGGCTGTCGCAATTCTTAATATCAATAAATTCAAGAGAATCACATACCATTACTGTCCTCCTGCTACAAATGCTCTTTAATGCGGGCAAATTCCACAATTCTAGTTTTTCTAATTTTGGAAGAATGAGCTTCTTGATGATGTCCCCTCCTTCTTCTTCTGGATCTGATCCTATTATTTCTTCCATTTCTTCACAATCATTGACTTCAATCTTCTTTAGACTTTGGAGATATTCTGCCAACTTCCAAGATGGAAACAACTTCTTTATTTTTTTGCATTGCCAAATCACAACTGTTTGGAGAGATGAAAAAGCCCTAGGTGGAGGTGATGACGTCGCCATGACGTTTGCTTCAAACAGCCCATCCAATTTGTGCAAACCTCTAAGAGACAGATACTCAAGGGTTTGGACGACTGAGTTGTTTATCCACGAGGGAAGAACGCACTCCACGCCATCACAATACAAAATCAAACATTTCCTCAAATCCGTTGCATCTTTGATTGCAGAAAAATCATTTAAGCTTCTTAGGTCGTGGCAAGCTTCAATACATAATACTTGTACAGTGGGAAATAACATATTCTCTCCAACAATACTAGTCTCCTTGAACACCATTATTTTCTTATATCTTGGTGACTCTTCTATAGCAGCATAAATGTTATACCTCCTATTCCACTTGCTTCCAACAGTAATAACATAGGTACTCAGCCCATTAGGCTGACATTTGAGAAAGATTCCCATGTCATTCGCAGTGGGGAACCAGCCATGAAAAACTTCCAACTTCTTCAATCTCCCAACCACGTTCCCCTTCAATTTTATTCTCCACTCATCTACAATAAACTCTTGAAGTTTGGAGAGATTTGATAATACTCCATCTGCTATTTCATCTATTTCAGATCCATCAAGAAAAAGACATTTCAAATTCTTCAACATTCCCAGGCCTTCAGGGACTTCTTTGATTCTTATTGTCCCCCTAAGGTTTAACTTTTTCAAGGATCCAAGGCTTGATAAAGATGGTAACTCTTTTAGGGATGTTGATTCCAACAACAATGTAGTAAGCTTCACCAATTTGGAGACAGAATTTGGCAAGCTACTTAACTCCAGATTGAAGGACAGATCAAGAATTCTTAGCTCTAGCATGTGCTCAAAGACAGATTCTGGAATTGTTGACAATCTGTTATGGCCCAACAGCAAGGTTGTGAGCCTTATGCATGTTGAAAATGCCAAGCTTGATGGAATTTCTTCAATATAATTATGCATTAATGAAACCTTTTCAACACCTTCTGCACAATTTACCCTCTCTGGTAACTCTTTCAATGCCTTGCCAGCTTCTACCAAGAACCGAGGGCTCATTCTTGTAATGTCTAAGGCCATGTCCCTAATAAGATCATGCATCCTCACACAATCTCCTGTATATTCATCTTCAATGAATTCTAACAAGCTACTGTCAACAAGCTTCTTCCAAATACCATAACCCTCACCCCTCATTAATTGTCGAGATTCCATTTCATCTATAAACCCCTCGTCAATCCAGCTTTCAATTATTTCCTCCTTCAGAATCTTGTGATCCTCAGGATACAGTGCACAATATAAGAAACAATATTGGATCTGTTGGTTTTCCAAACGATCATAACTGAACCTTAATATCTGAAATGCATCAGCATATGTACCTGCTACATTTCTTTTGTATTTTCTCAATTGATTCAGTGCAAGACTCCACAACTGTGAATCAGATATTCCTTTTAAGCTACCAGCAACTGTAATGAGTGCCAATGGAAGACCATCACATTCATCCACAATCTCCTTCAAAGTTGATTCTAAATCCCTTTTAATGCCTCCTCCATGATCTGATAAGACAGTATCTCCAACTTCATTCAAGAACAATTTTAAAGCTTCCTCTTTTAAAAGATTCTTCACTTGGATTATTCTACAATCCATTGAACAAGCAACATCTTGTAACCGTGTAGTCAATACTAACTTGCAGCCATTAGTTACATTTGGCTTAGGAATTCCGACATCTTCAAGTCTGAAACTGCTCCACACATCATCAAGAATCAGCAAGTGAGGCTTTTGTTCTTCTAGCATCTTTGACAACACTCCTGCACGACTAGTTGCATTTTGAAGCTTTTCCAACTTTCCCTTCAAGCTGCATGCAATTTGTTCTTGCAATATGGGGATATCAAAGTTTTGTGACACAGTTACCCAAATTATTTTCTTGAATTTACCTTCTTTTAGAAGTTCATTATGGACATGCTTCATTATTGTTGTTTTCCCGACTCCCCCCATCCCCCAAACTCCAAGCATTGTCACCTCTTCTCCCTTCAAGCATGCCAAAATATTTGCTTTAACAGCCTCACTGCCTTGTAACTCTGATGTTGTCAATTCAACTACCGAAGCTGATGGATC